CAACCGGTATGGATGATATTCCGAACGAGTTCCTGAAGGCAATTAAGAAAGAGGCAGCAAACAACCTCAGAACATGCTTTAATGAACGCCTGGTGTCAACAGAAATACCGTAAGTGTGCAAACAGGCAAGAGTAAAGCTTCTATATAAAGGGAAACAAGCAGACCCAAAAGACCTCAATGCCTATCGACCAATCGCAATAATCAGCAGTCTGCAAATTATTTGCAAGCATAATAAACCACAGGCTACAGATCTTGTATGATAAAAACAACTTTTTCGTAGAAGCTCAAAATGGCTTTCGGCAAAACAGAAGAACAAGCGATAACCTATTTACGTTAATCCCAAGCCATAGAAATGAAAGACATCCAAAACTCCCAGTTGTTCCTGGCATTCCTAGACCTCGAGAAAGCATATGATGCAGTACCACACCAAAGATTATGGGATAAGATGGAGAAAAGCGGACTCAAAAAGGAAAGTGTCGAACGCATGAAGAGCTTGTACAGGGGTTGCGAGGCCTGGTACACATTAGAAAACTACAAATCAAAACCAGTACCAATAAGTTTTGGACTGAGACAGGGGTGTTGCCTATCACCAACACCGTTTAATGTGTACACAAACGACCTTCTCAAACATCTCAAACATCTGGTGGAGGAAGGGGCAGGGTTGCACTTGAGCACTACGACCAAGGACAAAGAGGAAGAATACACGCGCATCCCATGCCTGGCCTTTGCGAACGATGTGGTGCTCCTCGCAGAGTCCTCAACCAATATGCAGCACATGATTGACATCTGCACAGGGGTGGCAGCGAGGGACAACCTTAAATTTAATGCAGGAATAACGCAGTGGATGGGCTCCAACGTGAATTTGGACACCAGCTTTTACCTACAAAATTAAACAGTACAGAAAACAACACCCTACAATTACCATGGTGTAACAATAATGCACAGCAAGGACTACCTGACCAAACAGGAAAAAAACGTAATTAAAAAGTCAAACAAACTGAAGGGGGTGGTGTGGCATCTCGCCAGGCACTCATACAATAGACACTCGGTTGGGAGGCTACTATGGAAACCCTTGCAGTCCAAGCAGTGACTTACGCGAATGACGCGATTACATACAGCGAGACAGTGGTAAAGTGTCTGGATCGACATCAATACAGACTGGGGAGATGGCTGCTGAGCTGCACAGCAAACGCAGCGGTAACCGGGGAAATGGGATGTCTACCTACAAGATACGAGAGGCCAGGTCGAAGCTTGCATACATGGGCAGACTAAAGTTCTTTCCCCAGGAGAGCTACGCCAGAGGGATGTACTACCACATCCGATATCAGGGGTCCAAGACAGGCTGGATGAAGAGAATAAAGACCATAGATTCTAAGTACGGTGGGGGCACAACAAGACATCTGGTGACGACGGAACAGGAGTGGGCGAGGACAATACGGGCAGAGGTGACACGGCCGGAATAGAGGACTGGAGAAGGACAATGCAGAGGATACTGAGCCTCCAACTGTACAGGAAACACAAGAAGGAACCAGCGCCCTATCCACACTAGCAGGGAGACCGAGCCAGCGCGCTGCTGTTCCAGGCTCGAACGGGCTCCCTACTGACCCAGAGACGCAGATTTGAGCTTTATGGAGAAGATCCAAACTGCGGGCTCTGTGGCGGCGACGAGGAGACTGTCGAACACATCTTGGGACAACGCAGTAGCATCGACCAGAAAGGGCAAAGCGCGTTGTAGTGCGGTATAGCACAGGCCCTTGGCTACGGAGACGAGGCCGAGGAGGGCAACGACGACGACAGTGACCGTAAAAATTACACGCCATATGGGGACTTGAATCATCCGACGGAGGCAACAAAACGCCGCCTTGTGGCGTGAAAGCGACTTTGCCACACCGCAAAACCCCTTGCCTAGAGCGGAACGCCTGAACTGTGGCCTGAACAACCTCAACAATGCACATCCCCCCCCCCCCCCCCCCCCCCCTGCCGCCCTACCACGCACACGCCCGCTGTCGCACAAGCCGTCTCGCTAGCAGACGGACGGAAGAGCGCAGTGGCGCAGCGAGCGCAAGTGAGAATTTATCTCGGCCTCAGGGTGCGCCGTGCGTGCGGAGCAAGGCGACAGGCGGCGCAGGGCGGTGCGCTGTTTCATAGGGAGGCTGTAGTGAGGGTGGGCGCAACTCAAAACCTGGAGAGCGTTTGCAATTTAATGGCGGCGCCTGAGGGAGAGGATTCGAGAAAGGATATGCCCCAATGTTGCCTGCACGAGAGCAGGCGCCCGCTCTGTTGCAGCTCTGTTGCTCCATGCGCCTTTCCTCCTCTCGCCTCCCATTGCAAGCAACGAGCGCCTTGGCGCAGCCTCTCTCGCTTCCTTCTCGCTCCGAGAATCGCAAACGTCGAGCGGAGAAAGCAAAGTTGCCAGACAAGCAGCAACGTCCAAGATGGCGGAATTTACCATTTTTCGCGTTAAAAAAATACTTAACCTATCGCAACAAAACTGGTGGCCATGGAAAAGTAATCATTTATACCTTGTGTAAATTATTCAAGCACCTTAATGGGCTTTTATGACCCGAGTTAGGAAAGAAAACGACCCTTTGCCCCATAGACTCCCAGCAAAATTTAGCAATTAAATGGCGTCCACGTCCCGTGATCGCCGATCTAGCAGTTGCACCCACCCTCACTTGAGCCTCCCTACTGTTTCAGCTCATTTTGTCCGCGATAGTACAGGTTGAGAAGCTGAAAGCAGATCACCCCGTTATCATGTCGCTAGTACCACGGCAGAACTTCAAAATAAAATATTAACGATAAACTCGCGGATACAATAAGAACCCCAAAATATCGCCGTGCGAATGCAATTGAATGAGGGCACTCTGGGCACAGGGTATTTTTAAAGAGCGAAAGCAATCCGCGAAACCACGAAGAAGACAGTCAGACATATGTGGTCGCTCCCATCGAATGTAAACAATAAAAGGTTTCTATATTCACTTACCAGGTTCCCGAACAAATAGCAAGTGTTCGAAAGAATGTTGCAGATAATATCTCACCTTTAAATCCGTCAACACGTCCAAACGACACGTCCAGATGAAACTGCGAGTCTGCGACGCCATTGGAAAAATGGATTGTCTTGGCCGGCCGGTTTTACGGCTTTACCAGTTTTATTTCAAAGCGCTGCCCATGCAAAGAAACCGAAACTATACTTGAGGTAGTTTCGGTATAGATTCCGGCAGGTTTGAAAGATCAAGGAACGAAAGTAAACCCTGAGACAATGATAAACAAAATAACAGACAAAACAACCATTCTGATGTTAGCCTGAGACTGAGGCAGGAAAAGAGGAAGTTTCAAAGCCTCAGTCTCAGGCTAACATCAGAATGGTTAATTTCCACCAGCTCGCCTGCGCACTCACTACAATATCATAGACAAAACAACTTGCCCTCTCCGTTATTTTATTTCTCCTTGTCTCAGGGTTTAGATTACGTTAAAAAAATTAAATGTATTTTTTACGTGCGTTGTGTGTGTGTGAAGGTGTGAACGCGAGAGTCCGTGTGCGTGCCTCTGCGGATGCGATTGCGTGTGCAACACTGGTGTGTGCAGGCGTGCATGCGTCTGTGTGCATCTGTGCGCGGGAGCGCGCGCGTGTATGCCACGTCCCTGTGCGCGTGCGTGTATGTGTGCGTGCGTGCGCATGTCTGCGTGAATGTGCGTCTGTGTGTGTGCTTGCGCGCTCGCGTGTGCGTGCGTCTGTGTCTGTGTGCGTTTCATTTTGTTAGCCCTGGACATTGGTGACATAATTTTTTTTTTTAGAAAGTGTGGGGGGGGGGGGGGGGGGGGGGTCCGTATGCCGCAACCTACCGGCACATTTTTGGGGGTATTGGGGGGATTCCCCTGGCTACGCCACTGGCCCTGGATGTAAAACAAAATGTAATTTGTGTAGCTAAAAAGCGGCAGAATATTAACAGTAGCGGTCAGGTGTGCCTGCGGAGACTTTCAAACTTCGTTTAAAAATAAGGTGTAAAAAGAAAACAAAAAGTCATTTTGGGAACAAACTACGGCCAACCTACTTCAAAAATTGCAAAAAAAAAAAAAAAAGAACTTTTAAATTTTTGCAGTGAAGACAAAGGCACCGGCACGAGCGCGTGGCTTTGGAAAGTGCCTCTTATGAACGAGTGCTCGTAGAAACAAAAGCACACTACTGAGCGATGCTCACGCGCCTCTCTGAGCCTTTGTCTTTACTGCAAACATTTCTGAGATGGAGTATGGTTAGAATTTCGAGCGCCTTTGGGATGATAGCATCAGTGTCACGAAATACTGTGACGTCATCTAGGCTGCAAGCCATACTCACGAAATCCCTATTTCTATACTGAAAGCATTTATGAAAATAAATATCCTTTGCATTTAAAAATATTTTTAAGGGCACACATTGCACTTCGGGCATACTGTGAATTAGAGTAGCTCGTCTTTATATTTACCCATTTTCATTAATTCATTTATATTCGTTGTTGAAGTGCTACAAATATTTATTTTGGAAAATGTGACGAAGCCATAGCATAAAAAAACAATAAATTTTGCACAAAAATGCACAAAAAATAAATAAATGCAGGCACAGTTTGTACTACGCGACGAAGGGATAGCACAATTGTTAAAAAAAGCACAAATAAAAAAATAAAGGCAGAGTTTGTACTAAAACAAAAGAAAGCGTCATTTCCATTCTCCCTTTCAAATCACGATTCCAGAGATACTACTAGTGTTTCCGAAAACGTTATTTTTTTTTTTCTCCACCTGGTTTCCGAAACCGAAACCAAAAGTATTCAGAATTTATAGTAGCACCAAAACAATTTTGCACAAAAGCGGTCACTCCAAAAATATTGTCGCAGGCGCGTTAGAAAAAAGTCGTTGTTTATACGACGTGTAAAAGAAAAAGTAAAAAAGAAAAAAAAAGAGCATTTAAAGTTTTGCGTTTGTGACCACCACTTGCTCCGTAGTTCCAGATGGTCTGGCACAGTCTGGCATACGAATGGGAACCGCGCCGCCGTCGACGTCGCTCTGTGGTTTGCGTTCATTTCTACGTTTAAACCGATTCCTTTAGGTTTTTTTTTTCTTTTTTCTTTTACAGGTACTTTGTCAAGAGTAACAAACGATATCTGGGAGACGCTGATGGACGCTGCGTCTAGTCAACGACCGTAGGTTGTGCACGGCTGCCGGAGCACCTTCGGGAAACGCTAACCGCCGGTAAGCAAGTGTTTCTCTTTTAAATTGATTCGATAGCGTGTTGATTGAACATATTTGAAGGGATATCCAGCTAGTTTTCGTTGTAGATTCAAAGTTTGAAGTGAGACGCATGCCGAAATGACAGAGACGAGCTTAGAGCATCGCCGCCGGGCGTGTCACGTCCGAATAGATAACTGTCGAGCCAGTCCATCCAGGCTGTCCCTATTCGCACTCCGAGTGCGGATAGTGGGCGCGTTAAGTCGGCGCTTCTTTACTCCTACTCCGACGCTCCGAGTTTCATACTCCGAGCGCAGCAACTAAACGGCGCATAGCGTACAAGAGCGCGATACACCGAGGCTGCGTTCCAAACCTACTCGAATGGATCCGAGTTACACTGGCCGATTATGTCACGTGACAACAAAAATAGAGAAACGCTGGACGCGGGTAGGTTTTCGATAACCACCTTTACCCTAGAGTTAGATCGGTAGATCGAGTAAGCTCCTTCCGACCGTGAATACGGGTGGCAGAAGCCGAAAATATTTCGAAGATAAATAATTAGGCCCGTGTGGAGCCGCAGACTCGAAAGCAAAAGAGACTGCAACGTATGAAGTTTCTACGAACGTTTTAATATTCCTGAAAGGTTTTAACACCCGTTTCGTGCACATATCTGGAAGGTTACCATGGCCGATCTACGGGGTGAAACAAGGAGACGCCAGGCTCTTCAAATTAATTGAAAAATTCGGTCTCTTATAGCGAGTTCGTTTCGCACGCACTGGCACCGTTCGAGTTCTCTAACAGAAGGCATCGCACTCACAGTGTGTTGCACGGAAAACTGGACTCAAACGAACTTGCCAAATGCACCGAGTGCAGAAGACTGATGCTGCCGCCATCTATGTTGTAGAAAAGGCACCGACTTCAAACCGAAACTAGCGCCTTTCTGTTCCGAGCATAGAGGTTCTGAGTGATGCGTGGGAATGCGAGAATGCAGTTGCTACCAACGTTTATCTACTAACGTTGGCAACTGCAGCCTGTAGTTTATAGTTGCGATGTCTTCAAGCAGCTCGGCTGCCGTAGAGCTAGTTACAGACGGCGTAAATTTCCGCAACCAGCTGTCTACAAAGCAGCTGGTTGCGATCTTTCAATTCTTATAACCGTTTACACTGAAGAAAACTAATGATGCTGTCCGAGCAGAAGCTTGATCCGTTTGAGCATGGTATTATGCGTGAACCACTGAAAGGGTACGGCTTAAAACTAGCCTGTTAGAATATCCAGCGAAACTGGGATTTTCGATTTAAATCGTCACTATAGGTGGATTAGATATTAGCTTTGGTGAGGGCGTCGAGAACGAGAGCTTTCTCGAACAAAATACGACGGGGCAAGTTAGCTGCTTAGGTAAATGTTAAACATGATGATGTTGCCCAATCCTCGGGTAAAGTCACCATCTTTAGCTTTCTCTGATGCTTATTGGGTAGTCAGAGGGGGAGTTTTATCGACAAATGTTCAATTTTTCACCCGCACACGGATGGTGATAGAAATCTCGAGGGCCGCTGTTGCGTTTGTTCTGAGCATTTCTTTACACACTGGTATATTTCAGCGTTTTTACGGCAACAGAGTGATTTAAAACCTGCAAATGAATCACGGGTTGTCAATTGCTTCCTTCGTGAGATAGCAGGCGCTCACAATTCAAGTTCGCGTTTGATTTCGTTGCCCGCGGGACATGATTTCTATCAGAAAATCTACTTTTTTTTTTTCCGTAGAGTAGATTGTTGGGCTAGTTGGTTTTAGAATTTGGAATACATTTTAGCGCTCAAAAAACAGGGACAAAGAGGCGAGAAACAGACAGCACAGTGCGCTTTTGGAATACATTTTAGCGCTCAAAAAACGGGGACAAAGAGGCGAGAAACAGACAGCACTGTGCGTCTGTTTCTCGCCTCTTTTTTTTCCGTTCGGTTCCGCCACATATCGTAGGAGACGAACCCTCGTCGTCTGCTCCCGCTCCTCGCCGGCCCCGCCGGAGCGAGGCATGACGGGATTGCATTTTGGCGCACTCCCGATTTTCTCGGTGCAGCGAGCGCATGCACGCGTGGGGTGTCAGCGATGAAACGAACTCGGAGAGTGCAACCACTCTTGGAGCGCCGGCCGAAACGAACCCGTTCCTTGCTGCGAGTGGGCACGCGTGGGCACGAGTGCCGTGAAACGAACTCGCTATTAACCTATCGCGCTACGACTTTGTGCAGCGTTGCCCACAGATGGTGCATTTTTTTTGTAAAATTTGAAAAGAGCGAACTTACCTGAAGAAAAAGTAAAGAAAGAAAAAGGCTTAGCTCCTATGGAAACGCAGCGTAGCCACCAAACAACACGGTGCCGTTTCGCACGGGCCACAAAAGATGGCGCAAGCGGTCGTGACGCCAACTGCCGCCAACGAACGAGCAGACGACGCAGACAGGAACTGCAGTTCCTTGTTGTTACCGCACTTGTTTTTGTTTCTGCGATTGTCGCCGCCCGCGGAACGCGCTCCGCTTTTGAGTCGAAAAGATTGTCTGCTTGAGGCGCTGGCTCTCGGCGCCGTATGCTCGTTCGTTGGCGGCGTTCGTTGCGCCATCTCTTGTGACCTGTGCGAAACGGCGCCGTGTTGTTTGAAGACCGGTGGCGTCGCTGCGTTTCCATAGGAGCTAAGCCTTTTTCTTTCTTTACTTTTTCCTCAGGTAAGTTCGCTCTTTGCAAATTTTACAAAAAAAGTGCACCATCTGTAGGCAACGCTGCACAAAGTCGTGGCGCGATAGGTTAAGAAACCGAATTTTCCGGTCGATTTAAAGAGCCTGGTGTCTCCTTGTTTCACCCTGTATTTATAGGGAGTATTTACTGGCGGCCATAGCTATGTGCGCGACTGCTGAGCCTGTGCTGACGGCGTGCTTCCATAGTTCTTTCGCCACGTGCGTTTCGCACCACCAAGATTGCCGGTCTTAGGAGCCTATTAACGTGAGCTCGTTCCGAGCATGCGCTCTAAACATCGCCCTCAAATATGGCGTCCAGTGAATACTCCCTATTGACCATGCATGCTGTTACGATTTCAATTAAAGAAAACATTCTTGAACCGGCTCGTCGACGCAGGAAACCCCCAAATTTGTCAGATTCCCTGGTTCCGTCGGTTCCGTCTCGCAGCGAGACGGAAGCACGCCGATACCGGCGCACCGTTGTTCAATTGCACGTCAATTCGTTTTTAGGCGGTATGCATGGAGCAAACCTTTCCCGCAACGCTAACTGGTGTTTCGGCTTTCCAATCTAAGTAGTGATGGGACGAATCACTGGAGATTCAGATTCGGTTGGATTCGGAAATTTCCGAACTTCCCGTGACGAATATTCGGCAGATTCGGAGATTCGTCAGGTTCGTTGCTGGTTGCAGACGGCACTATGAACCTTGTCGTAAACCTCGCGAATGTGGTCAGTTGTGTTCCAGATTTCGTCTTGCTTACTTCAACTTATGGTATGTACTGTACTGTCATTCTAAATCCTGGCACGCGCCCAGGTCCAGCTGAGCTGATCGGTGTGGTTGGCGTAGGCCTAACAAATGCACGGTTTTGGTTTCTGTGCGGTTTCGAGGGGATCGGTAAAATGTAGCGAAATGCTGTCTATTATACATAATGTGGCGCAACGCTCAATAAATATATTCAGGCGAGGAAATGATTCGTCTCCTTTTCTAGAGCTAGCTGCGTAAGACGCGAGAGCGATGAAAAGTGTTGCTCGACCCAGCTTCGACCGCGTACGGCACCGGCGAAGAAAAACGTCACACTGGCACTGTCGTTTCTTCGTCTCGGCAGCAAGTATTGTATACTAGAACTTTATTTGATGAAAAAGAAACAACATAGGGGTGTCTAGCGCAACTTTATTGTTCAGGAACAAACACTAATTAAGATATCATTAACTAGAAAGGTACAAATACTCCTTCCGCCGTACATAGTATGGCGCAAGGACTTTTAGATTGTTTCCCGTGTTTCAATAACAATACCGCAGTGGACACACGTTAAAGATAATCGAATCGAACATACTTACATATGTGTGGTGTGTGCTACTGGTGCTACTATGACCGTAATTATGGGCACGAGATGTGTTCCTGCCGAACTGCACGTACGGCATCAATCTCTTGTGGGGGGGGGGGGACTGCTGCGAACCTCGGACGAGCGCGGTCGACGTCTCTGGTAACCCCGGAGTATGAGAACTTGATCTTCACGTAAACATCGGCTCGCTCCGTCGACCCGCCGCTGCACTGGCTGCACGTCCGCTGAATCCCGCCGGGCTGGGGCGGCCACGCCCAGCCTGACGAGATCCACGGGGAACTTTTCATGCTTGCGTTTCGCTGGAAGGGCAGCCGCGGTTGTCACTGCCATGGCCCCGCCGACAACGCCGGAGGTCCCTGGTCCACAACCGGCTGTCGCCGAACCGCCCAAGCCACTCGGGCGATGAAAACATGCGCTTGTATGCTTGTATTTCGACGTGCACCAAGCATGCCTATTTTGGTCGTAATCCGGAACCGAAACCAATGTTCCCGCGATGCCTGGTTTCCATTCTCGACAAACATCCAAAATATTATAAACAAAGCGGAGCATTTTATTAATTACTATGATATTATATTACAACATTATTTTGTGCACTTTGTAGAATTTAGTGAATTTAGTATCACGAAAAGTTTAAACACTCATCAACGTGATCTGGCAACCATGGCAACGCTTTGAATATTTCTGAACTTTTCCGAATCGCTTGAGATTCGGCTACTTTTCCGAATATTTCCGAATCTTCAGATTTGGCTCCAGTCAACTTTCCTCGCCGGGGCCTGGACCTGGTGGTGTAGGGATGGGCGCATCCTGGTCCGGATGGGGATGACCGATGACGGTGGTCGCCCGATGACAGCCCCCCGGAAAGTTGATACTAATAAAAAAAAGGACTAAAAGTTGTTCGATCCCGCTGAACACATTGCGACGTTGGTTGGCTTTACAGTGACCAGTGTGGCCACGTTTATTATGAAA